GTAGCTGTCTGGTTGGCGTATGTGTTGAGCAGGTCGTCAATACACAAATCCCAAATAGTCACAAAGTCAGAATCTGTAGGACTCGGCTGCGTTTACAGCGGAGCCACGCGACTGCAACTGCTTCGAGGTGTTGGTCTGGTCCAGAGCAAGCTTTACATTTGCTTGGTTGTTCATTCCTTGCACTGGTAATTACCATGTATCTGTATGTATATAATATCTATAATATAATATACTAATATATTATTTTATGTTATATTACAATATAGTATAGTATAGCACCGTCAAATTTTGTTCAATAGCCTCCGAACCCTTTTCATCTTGGAAGTACAGCCCTACCCAAGCCGAGGCCTCAAGACTGCAACTGCATCTGCCCAGATTGTCCTCCATCAGAAGGGAGTGCAGTTCCAGCCGGTGGGAAGTCCATCAGTGTGCGGAAAGCTATGCTGCTTGGCTATGGCAAAGGGTATAGTCCCGCTTAAGTAGATGGAATATGGGATATATGGGGATCTTATTATAGTCTACCCGAAGCCATATTCGATCTACATAAGGGGGACTATAGATCAGGAAGAAGCCATCAGAGAGCCCATACTTAGCCTGAAGCAGTCTAGCGGCTGGGAGATGCTCAGACGACCCTGTCACTTAGAAGTTCTCCAGATATATTGGGGTTATATGGGATGATGGAAAACAAAATGGAAAGTACTATAATATAATAAGGTGTATATATAGGGGGTTATATAGGGATAATGCAACCTACTATATAGTATGTGCGCAGAAGCTCGTTGAAAGCAACTTTTTCTTCTCAGGGTAGCGTATGGAGCGCCGTGTTGGTCCCTGGTGTAGGGAATGCAGGAATGGGGATAAAATACCTAAACCCTAAACCCCGAAACCCTAAAACCCTAAACCCCTAAACCCTAAAACCGTAAAACCTAAACCCTAAACCCCCTCCCCCTACAACCCCACCAGGTGGGCGGTGTTTGAGTATTCCCTGGGATTCGTAGTCCTTTTGTCTTCAGACATGTCGATTCCAGATTGCGTGTGCAGGGGTCCCCCTACAAACACGTCAAACCATATCACTGGGCTCGGTCGTTGCGTCAAGGCTGACCTGCGTCACTATGCGGAATCTCAAATACCTATGTTCGTTGTCTCTATTTTTGACCGCCACGATTCCCTGTTACTTCCCGTATAGCACCAGCATCAGAAGGGCCCTCCATTTTGAGAAGCCCTGCAGCCGTATTCTTCAGAGTACGCAGGTTGATCCGCATGGCGTGTTCAAACTGTTCACCTGCAATCTTGCGAATCCTCGTAGTTATTCAATTTTCCCCAGTTCTGAACCAATCTTGCTCAAAAAATGAATCTCCAAACACTACCAGCCCCACACAATCCATGGTTCCTGAGGCACATAAGGTGGTCATTGTATATCAGGGAAAGTCTATTGTTCTGGGGTGCTGGGGGTCCCAAGACACTGTCCCCACACCCTACCTTCGTTTGACTGATGGCTCAGGGAAAACACCGGCACTGACAAAGGCCCGGGGAAGCACCATTACGACCGCTACTATGAGAAGCTGGGCGAACGTGTTGCTTTTTTTGTTGTTGTTGTTGTTGTGTTAAAAATGCACTTCCCTGTNNTGCCAACTTATGTTGGCTCAAGACTTGATTGCGCCTGCGGCATAAAGGACTTGTCTAGATGCAGCTTAGGAACACTTAGGTGTGCCTTTGTGTGTGTACTTGGAAGACTTCAGTTACTTTTCATGGTGGCGGAGCTGACAGCTCCCAGGGATTTTGATCGAGTCCAATGGCACTTGCAGCTGAGGATGATTCCTTCACAGGAAAGCTTGGGCTTCCACTTCCCTCGACTTTCTCAGGCAAACCACATGATTG